TGGCAATGATTACAGTTTTAAATTAAATATGCTAATAAATATCGACGAGGAAAACTTTAAGAAAAGTTTCTTTCCATATGCTAAAAATAGATTTTGTTGTTGATACTCATAGACCTAAAAGATTACATTTAATACTATTTGAATTAAGAATAACTGATTTGTTATTCACATCACCCCAGAACCAGCACCAGTTCTCATATGGCTGCATTGGGTTGCAGAATTTAGGACCCACAGAGACAGCATCAGGCAGTAAGATATCTAGGGCTGACCCTCATATATATAGGAATTTATTTATTCGGAGCTCTGATAAGCCTTAAGCATGTGCAAGAAATAGACATAAGTATAATAAATAACTAAACTAATGCAATTCAGGCTTGTCTCAGCATAGAAGCAAGATAACATTTAACGGAACAACTTGTCGTTAGTCGCCAAGCTCATGATGCATAGCCAAATATGTATAGTGAACGACAGCTAAATTTGATGATGATGATAGCCGCAAATTTTAAAGGTTTTCAGATATAGCAAAACAAAGATGAAATTTACCAATTAACGGATTTTGTAAAGAAATGTGGAGAAGCAGTAATATATGATGATATAAAAGAAGTTTTTCATTGTGATGACAAAGCTTCTCAATCATCAATCAATTAATAAATGGCGAAATCTGTAGTATGGTTCTAGATCCAGAAAATACCGCTAGCGATAGTGAAGAGCGTGACAGAGAAGTTACTTAAAACGAAAACATTTAGATTGACAAGTTAGTCGGAATTCTCGACACAGCAGTTCCAGGACTTCAACAATGCAACTGAACAAGACATTATGTCTGTCTACAAAATTAAAGAAAAAGTATTAGCACAAAAAAAAAAACAAAGCAACTTAAACAACTTACATTGAAAAAATTGTTTAATATGGTAAACAAATAAATATTAAGCTTTTTTTTTTTTTTTTAACCTTTTAGATCATAAATACTTCATTATCTCATAAATCACGATTTCTTATTTTTAATTTTATAATTTCTACATGCCATCTTACTAGATTTAAACTTATGATCTAATATCTGGAAAAATCCCAAATCCGGAATCGCCGAAGTCCCGAGGAGTCCGGATTTCAGACTTTGTACTGTATTATAAGCTCTATACTGGTATTACAAAATCCTTCATTTATTCAGTTTTTCAGGAGAAAAATGCTTCTAAGAAATTATAAAATTGCACCTTCAAGTGGTTGTACTTTAATTTAAAATCAGTAATTTAAAGATCTGTTGTCAGTTTGTTCTAATTAAATTTTACTTCATAATTTTGTCTTATATACGTATATTAATGTGGTCTTTACATTCTTTTCTTTATAAAATCTAGGAATATCAAGTATTGAAGCATTTGCAGTGAATCATTGTTGCCAGTTTAAATGACAGATCTTACAAAAGATGATATTGACAAGTTAGAATCATCGAATTAAGATTCAAAGTAGATTAGGGTAACTTATGAAAAATGCAAACCTACTGCTGTCAGTTAATGGAAAACTGGACAAAATCCACTGAAAGAATTAATTTCTTATAAAAATAAAAAGTAAGAAAAAAGATGAGAACTTCAATCATTACCTGAAATGGATTTCAGTGCATGTGAATAAATTTCACTGCATGTAGAAAAAATCCAGTTCATCTATTAAACTTGCAGATAATGCAGTTGAAATACAGTCAAAAGTCGTTAATTCAAACACCCATAATCCGGACCTCAAAGCTACAAACTTTCTGTGCATGCATCGCGTTCATGCATGCAAAAAGAAAACAAGCTTTTCCTTTTTGTAAATTTTGATACCCTTTAGATAATAATTGTTCTTTATTTCATAAATTACGGTTTCATATTTTGAATTTTGTAATTTCTGCATGCCATCTTACTAGATTTAAACTGATGATCTATAATCCGGAATCGCCGAAGTCCCGACGAGTCCAGATTAACGTCTTTTGACTACTTTTCTTATACTAGTAATAATTTTATGTTTATTACAAAATATTTTTTAATTTCATTTGACTTTTCCTGAGTTTAATGGATAGAAGTGCAGTGGTTCCCAAACTGAATTATTGAATTGCATTAACGAGCTGCCAACTGCAGCATTTGATACATCAGTATAGAGTTTAGAAGTAGCAACAGGAACTGGGTGTCTATGAAGGGTAGCCTCAGTGATTACCTTTTTTGCATTGGTGAACTCTTTCTCAGCCTCATCATCCCATTCCAGAGAGTGTTCTTTAATTTTACTTGACTGTGAGGATTTCTTTTTATTAACATGGCCTTCGAATAACCTATTCAAGGGAGCCAAAACATGCGAAACTCTTGGAAAAAAATGCCAAGACATTTTCTTAATTGCGTTAAAGTGTTTGGTTTGGGAAACTTTTGAATGGCTTCCACTCTTTGGGATAAAGGTTTTAATCCTGTTCCAAAGATACACACTTAAAAACTCCAAAAGATATTACACCAAAAATACATTTAGATACATTAATTCTTAACCCATAATTACTTAATCTTTCAAATGTATCAAACGTTCAGTTTCGTTCTTTGGTGCACTCAATACATCGCCAATACAAGCATCGGGTGGACAGTGTTGTTTTGCAGTTTTTAATTTATTTGCCAACTATCAGAATGTTTCAGAAACATTGTAAAGTAATATGTTATGGTGTCATATCTCTGCACTATATCACTTGTAGTCACCAGGCAGTAAAGTTGATGATATACGTTTATCGTAAATCACTAAGCAGTGCAAACAATAGGAAAGTGAGTTGGACTAAAGTATCTTTTTATAACGAATCAAAAGAAAACTACAGTGTCTGATAACTCTACTGGTAGACTACTTTTTGTTAATGTTGCAAGTTCAAATAACTATTATTTTTATCAAACTTGAAATAATAATAATAAAAAAAAAAACATGTGTAAGTACAGCTCGCCTGCTTAATCACTTCTTAATGAACACTGACAAGAAAAATAAACTATATTTAAAAGTACTATTATACCTATAAATGAAAGATGAATCACTTTAAGATGATCATGTAAATTCCATTTACAATTTGAAATTTGTGTATGAAACCATATTTTATGTAAACAGAACTGAAATAATTAAGAGTGCAACCTAAATGTATAGAATTACACTTTGGATGTTTTTCATAGTCTAACACAGTGTGGTCCAACCTTTAGTTACCCGAGGGCCAATCAAACATTAATATAGCTATCTATAGCAGAGTGAGGGCCAGAGACATTAAAGAAAGAAAATTAATTGGATATAAATCACTCGTTTAATATATCACTTTATGTCTTACTTAATATATCACTTAAGTCTAAAAATTAATGTGACGATTGGCACTGCTTTTCTGATACAAGTTTATCAATGTCCACTGTAATTTCAGTAAGGCAAAGTCTCAGGCTTGATTCCAGTGAAGCACATTCAATGTGATTTCTCGTTTTTGATTTAATTTGTTTGAGAGCAGAAAAAAGCACTTTGACACACATATGTACTACCAAACAGCAATAACATTTGCAAAGAGAATTTATGCAGAATTTGGGAAAACATTCTTTAGAAATCAGTTTCCAGAAATGTTTAGTGACATCACATGTTTTAGTCTGGTAGAATGGATCTGCCTGAAGATCACAAATTTCCATTCGAAGGTCGCAAGGCACCTCACTTCATTCTCCAAGGGGTTGTTCAACGAAGTTTTGTTTTTAGGAAATCAAAATCCTGGGACTCTTTCTTGATTTCAGTAAATATTTCATGAGACGTACTAAAATTTGTGTCATTTTCTTTTTTCAGCTGCTGACAAAATGAGAAATGTGCCATATTACTTGTCTTCAGTGCAATTCGCATTAAATTTTTTTGCGAAAGCCTAAGCCTTCAGTATGTCCATAAAGCTGGGATATATTTTGTTTTCTGCCTCGTAGTTTAAAGCATTTAGACGGGTTGTTAAATCTGTCAGAAAAGCAAAGAAAAAAAACTGGATTTCTTCCAATGTTTCTTGATACTCATGCCTAATGTTTTCTTTTTTGAGAAAAGCAAGAGTTTTATTCCTCAACCCAAAAAAATGTTGCAGACAATTTCCAGCACTTAGCCAGAGCACTTGGCAGTACAATGAAATGTCACCACACTCAGTATACAAATTGTCCACAAATGCAATAAATGCTCTGTGTCTCTGGACTTTGCCTTATTAAATTTACAATATTTACAACAGTTTTCATTGTCCAAGCCTTATAATTTATATTATTTAATTATTATATTTAATGTAATTATTTATATTTATTATTTATTATTTAAAGCAGTAAGAAGGGTCTTTTGTCTTTGCAAATGTTTAACTGACATTTTTTTCTCCAGTAAAGAAGGCCAAGTGCAAAAAAAATTAAAAAGAGGGCCACATGCGGCCCGCGGGTTGGACGACGTTGGTCTAATAAAATCCTAGATGGTTCCTTTCTGCAACCACTAATCTCCGTTTATCACTTACATTTTGAAAATCCTTAACACCGTAACGATACATCAAACATATAGCCAGCTTTTATAACTCAGATTTAGTAGGTGTGTGATTTGGGGACTGTAGATTATTTTCCTTAATGCTACTGCAAATCCTAAAACACAAATTAATATTAAACTTTCAGCTTCTACTTATATCTTAACAGTAAGTTTAATTATAAAAAATCCCCAATTTCTTTCAAAAAATCTCAGTCAAAGAAAGCAAATGTTCACAAGATTATAATTTCTTCTGTTCTTTCTTTTGTATGAAACACAGATATTCCACTACCTATATAATCAGAATTTCAGTTAATAGTTTTCACTATGCTTATATGAAGTATATATACTAATTTCATTGTTTATACATGAATTCAATTATAATTAAATTTTTTAGTTAAAATGTTTTATGTAGTTAAATTTTGTTTCATATGTTTTATAAAATCTGAATTCATACAACAGTTATAACAATATACACAAATAATTTTAATTTATTGAAAAATGAAAACTATTTTACAATTCCAAATTTAAACAAATTCTGCATGAAGAACATATATTTTCCTTTTAGAAGCCACAAAACCTAAAAATATAAATACATAGGTAATCAGAATTGTTCTAGATAACACTTAGGATTTTCACTATTTTTAATTTATGCAAATTTATAAATAATAAATTCATAAATAATCAATAATAATGGAATTTGATGGAAGTACAAATCAAGAAGTAGGGCTGTAAATCTTATCTTTCGGCATTTCATAATTTTAAACAAGAATTCAGTGAATGATGCAATTTATTAATATCAACAAACTTGCTATAAATAAATCAATTTTCTATTTATTTTTTATACACTGTGTACATTCACATGTAAAGTGCTGCATATCCAATATTAAAGTAGACAGCGGATGAATATTTTATACTGCATGTTTAAACAAACATAACTGCTTTCATTCCTAGTTTTGTTCCTTACCCAAACAGATAATCCTACTGTTAGGCATAAAGTCCTTGTATAGTTTTTGTAGTTATAAAATGTAAGCAAATTCATTAATCTATGGTTATCAAACAAAGGTTACATCACGACCAATAAATTAATGGACATTTTTTAAACATACTTCAATTACTAACTTGTGAGTAAAAAAATTATTTTAAAACATAAAAAAGAAAATCTGAAAGGTTTCAGATTTTAAATTATTTCCAAAGAGGCATTTTTTAACATTTTGTGTTACCTTTATTTATTAAATATTATGTTCTTCGCACGTAAACCATAAAATTCAGTTCAACAGCAAAATCACAAAATAATTTAAATTGAGCATATCTTTAGAATTTCCGATACACAGTCTTCGAGCGCTGGAGATAATATTTTTTCTGTACAACGTTGCCATTACTCACTCTGAAATTATTGATTTTGTTAATCAGAAATTTTTAAAGTTTTACAAATATGAAATCGATAATAAAACATATTCCAAATTTCAAATTTGGGCTTCCAGATGAACATACTTGCAGTAGGATTACGTCATTCAAAATTTGATCGCTCTAGATACTGTTGTTTTATCACAATGCAAGAAACATACATAAATTTATGCAGATTTTTCATTATTTAATTTCTTCAAATATAATACAGGGTGATAATATTTGGGGGCAACAAATTGAAAAGTGATACAGCCTTTTAAAGATTTCAACTCAAAATGCCAAAATGAAAATAATAGTCCCTCAGGGACAAAGCCCCTTTAGACTAAAAATAGATGAAAATTGTACTTAAGTTGAGTTCAAATAACTAATATGGACTACAATATAATATTCAGTAAATTCTAAAACCTGAATTTCAAATTTGTTTTATTATCTATTTCATATTTTGTAAAGCTTTAATGAATTTTTGATTAACAAAATTCAATGATTTCAAAGCAAGCAGCGGCAACACCATATGGAAAAATATATTTTTATTTCCATCACGGGAGACTGTCTATTGGAAATTGTAAAGATATGCTGTTTTTAATTTTTTGTGATTTTATTGTTGAACTGTATTTTATGCAGCGTAAGGGCCAAGAATATGACATTAATAAAGTACAAAACATGAATAACAAAAAGATTTTTAAAAAAGTTTTGTTAAGACATCTTAGTAAGAAAACTGAACATTGATATGATGAATTAAGTAAAAACTGCGGGGGGGGGGGGAGAGAAAAGAAAAATGTATGCTGATACTTAATGCTACACTGGGAATTCTAAATGTATACTGCTATGCTGTTTTTTAATTTTTTTAAATTTTGCTGTTGAATTGTACATGGCATAAATGTGAAGAAAATTATGCTTAATAATAAAACTAAAACTAAAAAAAAGAGGGGTTAGTAACAGCAAATATAACAGCAGACTGGTAGACTGCAAGCTTACCAAGAGCACAAAATACCTTAATAAACCTTTTGGGTGACTGTTAAAAAGCTGAAACCTTTCAGATTTTTATTTTTTGTTTGTTTTTCTTCTCTGCATAATAATTGAGTAACACTAGTCGTATTGAGTAATATCTGTGCATGAAACTTAAAACATGAGACTACTTCAGTTCAATATCCCAAATTAGCCTTCCCCACAGATGAAAAGTGACATACTATGAAATCCAAATTTCAGACAAAATATCCATTATATCTGTTACATGCCCTTTCTGTCTGCATAACAGATATCATACTGAGATATTTTGCAAAGTAAAAGGAAAAGTTTTCTAGATAACTATTGAAAATTTAACTAGACACTTCAAGGAAGCTTGGAAAAATTATGTACTGCTATCTAAATTCTTATCTAGAAAGCTAAATGCATATGGATTATTTTCAAGCTGATGAAACACGAATATGGCAGAGGAAAATAAAATTTTTATGCAGTTTTGTCTAGTACACGTGTATCATATAATATTAAGAAAAATGTGATGCTCAAGCATAAATAAAAAATTGTTAACATAATTTAAAAGAAAAAAAAAGTCCTCCACAGCGTGTCAATGTGAGCTTACAATGTCATCCACAAATGCATCCCTCCTAAAGGAAGGTCATTGTCATTTCCTAATGCTTTGCCATAGCAAAACAGTCTAGCTTGAACTCAATCTAATTTATGGAAGGGAAAAATCGAAGCATTTCAAGGTGCACAAAACTGCTGATGGAGAAATGTGAAAAACATGATTTTCTGGACAAAGTTGCTAAATGTTACGAGAATAAAACAGATTCTTTGCCAACCATGAGCATATTCATAATTGGAATATGAACCTCACAAAGCAATTATGAATACACTTTCCTCTTAAGAAAACCAATGATAATTGCTATAAATTTTATTTTAGCAGAAGTGCTTTCAGATTTTAAAAAAAAAAAAAAAAATCTGATTTGTACACCACGACTTTCTTGTACAGAATGTTAAATTATACACATTTTCTCTTGCATTATTTAAACTTAGTGGATTGAATTAAATCTACTTCGTCAATAGAGCATAAACCACAATAGAATAAATGAATTCTTTAAAATTCGCTATATTTGTTCAGCATAGTGACACTCTAGCGCTAGGTTCACTTATCAGTGTTACATCTCATTCAATTTATAACTCAGCATGCACAAAATTTATATCATCTGAAAAATTATCTAATTGTTGCCATATGTTCTGTTCAAATACTATAATAAATCTAAAACAATGCATAAAAGAAATCAAATGAACAAAAACAGTTTTTCACAGACGATTCAGTATTTCTCATTCAATTAATTCAGTTCTCACTTCGCGACAAGGCAAAAATACACAAAAACTCGTATCTCTATTAAAAATTATGAAGTATATCTTAAACATTTATTTCTTCGAATAAATTCCAGAACGGATTAAGGATGATTTAATTCGCAATAATAAAAGAAGGCATTATCTTTGTTGTTGCAAAGCTTAGTTTTTCTAGATTGGCAACAAATCCACTATTCTATAAAGTTTCAAATGTAAACAAACATGGCTACTATAGTAAAAAATAATTAGGCTTAGCCTCACTTAAACTACTTTTAAATTGTTGATAATTCTACAAATATTGCATGCAAACTTACTAAAGGCATAAAAACCTTAACCGGAAGATACAAACAACATATTTCAATCATTTTTTAAAGCAAAAAATGCACAGTTTACAAAGATATATGAATAAAGAAACTGAGATCACTCAGTGGATATATATACAATTATTTACATACTTTTGGTGCACTAATTGCAACCAAAATAGGAGGTGCACATCTACATGTTATAGCAGTCTTCCATACAGAATTTCAATGTCCTGAGGCTACTTGTTTTCGAGTTATGCGAGATATAAACATACGTACATATGCACAGCGGACACAAAAAATTCTCATCAAAATTCATTTTTAATCAGTTTTATAATTTTTTGGGGGGAACAAGAGTTCTTTATTCTGTCCTTACATACAGATGTCACAAAAACACCGTTGATTGCATTTGATAATGGTCAAAATGGATATTTTCGTTCAAATATGAAACCCAAAATTTTTCAAGATTACAATATTTCCTTTTTACTTCGTACAATGAAGTATAAAAAGGGGGAGGAAGACAATTCTATTACCTATCTTTCAATAGCTCACTTTTTGGCTGCACTATTTGCAATGAAAGTATTAGTGTGCAGCTTCTAAAAGTTGCATTATTACATTATTTGCCAAACAGCAATAATGAAAGGGCAAAAAGATGAAATACCAACATTTCATAAAAAAGCTCTTTGATAGAGATAATAAATTCAGGCACAAAGGATATTATGAAAAATAGAGGAAAAGACATGGCAAATACAATAGCCACCTTTTTAAACTGCACACACTATGGCTATTATATTAACCATTCCTCGTCCAAAGGGTTCCTGAGTATTAGCCAAGATTTCCGCTACATGTATTCTTTTGATCTGACAAATGTGTGATCTATAGATTACACATAAGCTCATTAGCAAGTAAAATACATGGAAAATAACGCTTTATACAAAGCTCTTTGATGAAGCCTTTGGAGACACTGAGACCGATAGTTATCCTGGGGCCTTTATCACAAAAATAAGAAAAAAAAAAAAAAAAAAATGGCCACTGTAATAGTCATTCTTTTGAGTTAAAAATACTGCAGCATTATATATAGGCAATTTTGAGCCTACAGAGTTCTATTGTACCTAAGGCTTCCACTGTATATTACAATGGAAGTGCAGTTTCTGAATTCTCATAAACAATTAGCAAATAAATAGGTATAAATAGATTTTTTATTATTCTTAGAGCATTGTCTTTTTGCACTGCTATTAATTATATCATTATTTTCCATATAAAATCAATCAGTAATACTATAGCAATTTACCTTTATTCTAATGACTTTCTTTACAAATGAAACATTACAGGTAAATTTTAAATTGAAAATATTTTCTTTCATCTGATGAACATATATTGGTAATGTGTTTATTCACATACATTTACAGGGCCAGCATCATATTTCAAATGGAACGTCCTGGCCAATAGATGGTTATTTTGAAATGGCAAAGCATATGAGGACTATCTGCTTGACGGGAGTGATGCCTCTGACAAAGACTTTCTAAGAGAAATGAATACTCATATTCATGTTACACATGGGAGAAATCAATCATGCAGCCAACCTCCTTGTTTGCCTGGATTTGAACCTGGGATGTATAACTTGTTTTAGTCAGCAATGCTGCAATAATTTACATTATTTTATTCTAGTAATTATCTTTAAACATATAGAAAAGATTTATTGATAAATTTTTTAATTTAAAATGGAAAAAAAAAAAAAAAAAAAACTATTTCATCTCATGAAAAAGCGGCCAATTCACATTTGTTTGACTGTACATGTGAGTATTTCTGTCGAACAGTGCTGATCTAGATCTAAGCAAATCTTTCATACTGTTTCAAATTTCTGAAGATAAAATCTGTGCAAAAATGTCCTGGCACCTCTATGAAGTCAGCCACAACTTACCAAGGCAGAAACTTTTACAAGGCTGTCTGAAAGAAAAGTGTTTGTACCCTTATGATGAATGATCAGTTTTTAACTTGAAAATACAGATTCTTCACTGGTTATAAAATAAATTCCCACATTTCTGATATTCTGTTTCTAACTTTTCTTTATCTATTGGATTATTTTTCATTTAAAAATAATTTTCATATTTGCATTAATGAATTAAAAATACATTTTCTTAGAATTTACATGAAAATTATACTACACTTAAATATTGCAAAACCTGCTTTACTCCTCACACCTTAAATTTTTTCATTCCATTTGAAGAACAATGGACCTATGTTTGATCATCTTCGAAATCAGTTTTATTTATATTGCATGTGATTCAAAGGTTATTTTTTTCAGCCTAAATTCATATCACCATTGTCCAATGATCTGCAGAATATAATGACACTGTTAGGTGCATCCACTTTTTGCTCAAATTTATAGAAATTTTTTTTTTTTTTTTTTTAAATATTTTGAATTGCTGAACAAGCTTTGTTCATTTGTTGAGGACAAAATTTGTATTTTTATTTGAAAATTAAAAATACCACTTTTGTCAGCCAGCCATGCACATCTTCAAAGCCAGTAGTATATTTGCACTTCAACAGTATACGTCCTACAACCTTTTATATGAAGCGGATTCCCCCCCCAGGTGTATTCCTATTTCTAAAAACAAGGATAAAGATTACATAGTTTGCTAAATTTCTGCAATATGAAAAAATGAGTCACTTTCTCCTCAACATAAAATCTGTCAAAGTTAATACCAACAATATTAAAATCGTTCAGAGATCTTTTTTATTAAATTTTAAATGTGTTATACGCAATACGCATTAAAGTAGAAAACCTATATATACATGAAAGATATTTTTATCAAAATATCAGCTATACAAATAGGATATTCTATCTCACAGAATGGCAGCAGATAATAATGCCAGTACTTCATAAGTATTACATTAAGAAGTGTGTAATATATAGCACTTTTTAATTATGTGCATGTTATATTTAGGACTACTTGCTATTATACTGGAATTTTTAAAAATTATTAATTCCTTTCCATTTTGAAATTATTAGTGTAAATCATACAAAGCAAAACTTTTGTTGTAAATCAACTTTCCATCATTTGCCTACAACTGCCCTGTGACAAAAGTACTACCTATCTATAATTAACAATTTACATAAATTTTCTTAAAATTTTTAACGGCAATTTTTTTCTCTATATATATCAAAGGCTAATCCTTTTCTACAGAATAAATAATAATAACAACAAGCTTACAGAATGGGGGGGGAGGGGAAACCTCATGCCCAATAAAATTTTATCAAAAGTGTATTCTCTAACACATATGATACTAACAGAGAAATCAGTTTACCTCATAAGTGTGTGTAATCACTTTATTTGTGTAACTAAACCAGCAGCAATTGTAGAACCACCACTTCTTAGCATAATTCGACCCAATTCTTTATAATCTTTGAATAATTCAATGCAAATGGGACGATTAACTTCTATTTCAACAACAGCACTACTATTTTTTGTTAAACACCTAAGATAAAAAAAAGACACAAAGTTATGGATTATTTTTAAACAATATCCAAATATAAAGGAATAACATAAGCAAAATACATTCTTTAGCCTAGAAGATATTTAAAAACATATTTTTATGCATTCTACTCTACTGAAACTTTATTTCATTCTAGCCTTTTATTCTGCAATGCATTATTATTAAACTGACATTCTATGCTTAGATTACACAATTACCAGTCAACTTTCTTTAGTGAAGTAATATTTTCAATTTAGCAATGGTATTCAATAAAAAAAACAAGACTACCAAAAGGGGAGGGATTTAGATGGTAAATTTTAAATAAGTTTGTATGGAAAGAATTAATTTTTATTATAAATAACTTTAAATTACTCATATATCTAAACCAATTTGATTATGATACAAAAATGTTGAAAATGTGTCTAGTTTAACTTCACCTTTCAATCAGTAAATAAACATCTACATTATTTTCAACATTTAAATAAATTTCAAATTGCACATTTCCATGATTATTTAAATTTTTAGTACTTGAAGCAAAATAAATCTTTAACAACTGAAATTAATAGGTCAGTATCACTAAACTAGACTAATGCATAACGAGTCTACAGCTGCTAGCCTATATAGAAGACCGAGTTTCCATACTGTGTAGCAACGTGATTTTAAGAGCTGCTAACTTTGATATATGGAAAACCGAGTTTCCATACTGTGTAGCAATGTGATTTTAAGAGCTGCTAGCTTTGATATATGGAAAACCGAGTTTCCATATTGTGTAGCAACGTGATTTTAAGAGAAATACAAATTGACTTTATAATGCACGATTATGTTATTTGAATAATAATTTTGATGAAAAACATATTAATATGTTATTAGCTATTCTAAATTTTACGGATTATTTTGTAGTTTGGTTACATTTTCATATAAAAAAAATCCTGAGTAGAGGGAAAAAGCTTCTATTTATAAAAATATTTTTCAATACAATGAAAATAAAAGTAGCAATTAATGTATATAATACTGCACTGAAAAACTTAGTCATATTTTTTATTGATTAAAAATGAAATTAAATACAAATATTAATTTATGACACATTTGACTGAATCTTTGTAAAAAAATTCTACAAACATCTACAGTACATTAAGACAATTCTGATCAAGTAAAATTTAACAAGAAAAAATATTCTGAAAATCACAAAAGGTTAGGGAATGAAATTCACACAATGTCAGTTTTATTTATTCATTACACTTCACTAATTGCTGGAAAACATTTCCTTTGGTAAAATTTAAAAACCAAAAGTTTCACTTATCTACTTGGAAAGGAATTGAAAACCCTGGGAAGTTGGCAATGATGCAAATCAAATATTTAATTATTTAATAAACAGGCCTTAATAATGCAAAAATATGAATTTTATATGACTAAAGAGTCTAACATTAAAAACATTACTCATTTCTGAGAAAATTACCTTGGTTTCTTTTTAACAATTTCTCCTGTGCTGCGATTTAACTGTGATATTAATTTTTTTATGAGTGCTTGCTCACTCAGGCTCTGATAATGCAGAATTACTGGATATCCTTTAGTAATTGGAGTAGAAATGTTGAAAATGACTAGTCTTGCTTCAAACAATGTTGTTACTTTTACAGGTCTCTCTATATCACAGATCATGCTGCCAGATGCTACGTTATTCATATCAGTTCCACTAAGCTGCAGTATTACATGATCTCCAGCAAATCCGTGCTGCAGTGAAGATTCATCAGTAGTTATTGCTACAAAGAAATAAATTGACATACTTTATTAATATTATAGGAAACATTTCTTAAAAATATACATCTGTTTTTTTAATAGTGTACAGTGAAACCTTGGTTCACAAAATTAATTCATTCCTGAAGGTAATTTGCCAACTAAAGTGTTCATAAAGTGGAAAAAAAATTTTTCATCATAAGAATTAATGTAAACTGCATTCACTCATTGCTAGATCACAGATGATTACATCTTTAAACTGTACAACGGTACTTTGTGCAAAACTTCATGTCCAATGGAAATCATTAAATATAAAGGTTATTCTTTGGGTACAAAATTTCCTTCCATTATAACATCAGGTAACTGTCTTTTCTCAGGAATTTTCTTTTACATTTTCTTTGCTTCAAAGCAACAGTCAATTCTGCTTAAGACTCACTGCGCCTCTGTTTCACTCAAAATTTGACCATTGTGTTTTGATGTTGTCAATGTTTTTAAATATTTCTTAAATGACACATAACATTATCAGTGAAAAGGCTTACTATTGCTTTATGAGGGCGATATTGTTATATTCAAAATTTGCATCTTATCTCATTTTACACAAATATCATGAATAAAAGAATTACGATCATTTTTTTCTTCTTCCTCTTCTAAAGATTTTTCATTGCTGCTTCTGAAGTTGGTGTAGTTCTTTCATGTTGAACTCATTTTTATGGTCTTTCAGTAACTTCTCCATGTCTTCACTATTAACTATTCTATGATTTTGCCTAGACACACAGCATCACAGATACTTAAAGAAACACAGCATCACAGATACTTAAAGAAACACAGCATCACAGATACTTAAAGAAGTCTCTACCAACAACCCAGGTTAGTGGTAATATCCTCCAAGCCAAATTCATGATCCCATTAGTGATATCAAACTCAAATTGCACATAGGCAGAATGCCAGATCTGACGGCAGCTGATGGGCCCGAACTTTTTTTAATAAAATGAAAGTTTAAAGAAATAAAATGTTTTTAAATAAATTTTAAATTGCATTTACTAAATAGTTTTTAAAGCATATATAAATAGGCACGAAAAAGAATTCAAATTTATACAGTGGAGCCTCGAGATACGAGCACCTTTATATACCAGAAATTCGAGATACGAGGAAAGTATGAGTGAAAAATTTGTCTCAAAATATGAGCATTGACTCGAGTAATGAGCCAGGCTATTGATATGCATGGTGCCATTTCCCGATTCGGCTCGACTCAGAGAATTCCCACATCAGATCACTCAGTGTTTTTTTATCTATGCATTTGTGTGCTTGCAAGTTAATTGTTTATTACATTTAACGTGAAAATTATTATTTCACAATGCCTCCCAAGAAGATTTTTGCCTCAGATAGTACTGCAAAGAAAAATACGGGAGCTGTTGAAATTAAGAAAGAAATCATAGATAAATATAAACTTGATGTAAGAGTGGCAGAATTGGCGAAGACTTATGACCTTTCAGCATCAACGATCTGCACTATTCTGAAGAACAGTGAAGAAATTTAGAAACTTGATGTAGACAAAGGAGTTACCGTTACTTCCAAGCACTGTTCAAAACTCCTAGGAGCTGTTGTTGGTGTGGATTAACAAGAAGCAGTTAAAAGGTCGGTGCCGGAAGCAGAGCTGTGGAGTTTGAGTCATGCAGATTTTGGGGTAAAAGGAGTCGGAGCTGGAGTCGCTAAAAACAGGTCGACTCTGACTCCAGTTTTCACTGGACAGCTTGAATTTGAAATGAAATTAAAATGAATTGAAAAAAAAATTAATGACAAGCTGAGTTATTATTTTTATTTTTTATATATATTTTATATATTTATAGTTATTTTCTATTTTATTGACATATTAATAAATAAATATAAGGGAGGAGGGTGGATGTGATATTTGCCATTAGTGATTAAACTGATTCATTTAGTTACGAATTTCACTGGTAAATTTAAGTAAGCAGGAATAGCAGTAAAAACTCCCAAAATTGATGCCATTCTTAGGAAGCGAGCAGGAAAAGGAGCAATTATTGATCAAGCAATGCAATAAGGAAGTACATATTTGATGATAAAGAAGTAGTTAGAATTAAGAACTTTTTTAGAAGATATAGATAACCCTAATGTTTCACTAACAGAAACACTGTGGAATGATCTTGCAGAATTGGAAACTCTTCTTTCTACATCGTATATAGCCACACACAAAAACAAAAAAAACTTCAATCTGAAGAATTGACAGGAAGCGAGAATGGAAGGATGTGATGTTTGTTCTATCTGAAATGGAGGGTTTATTGCAGAAGGAATCATTTCTTCAATGAAGAAAAGAGAAACTAGTTTGCTAGACGATGAGATCTTGTTGGGTTCAATATATGTAGATCCGAAACACTTGAATTTTCTTGGATGACAAACAAATTAAAAAGGACAAAGAAAGCCATCTATTAACTTTCATTAAGAATGAAATTATTCTCAGAACAATTAGAAAATTAGAATCAGGACAGTCAAACTGCAGACATTGCATTTGAGTCTCTATCGTCCTCTTCCAATGATGAATTACATTTTGAGAAATATTTTTGGATAATATTGAAAAGGATAAGGCAAAGCAAATGAAAATAAAGAACCAAGATCCTTTAGATATAAAAATGAAAAAATAAAAACAAGATTTTCTACACGGCCTTTGAAGGGAAAAAAAAATATGATTGCGCTTGCAGAACTTTTATATCAAATTGGATCTATGGCCCTCCAACAAAGAAGATCTTGAAGAAGCTATACTGTTTTTTAGAAATAACTAATGCCAGTTTTTCAATTTCACAATAAATGCTAATTAATATAAATAATTTGCTATGCCATCAATTTTTTTGTAGCATCTATTACTTTTATATTAAAAAATAAGCTGTAACCCATGTGTATATGTTATATGAGGGAGTCGGGGTCTTTAAAATTCCAGGAGTTGGTCATTTTCCCTACCAACTCCACAGCCCTGGTCGGAAGCTGTCATAAATATAAACTGCGGTTATATTATTTACACGTATTATTTATTAGAAATAATTGATTTTTATGTTGATATTTTTGGGGTGTGAAATGGATTAACTGGATTTCTATTATTTTCAATGGGGAGTTTGTTTTAGATAGGAGAAATTCACTATACGAGCTCAATGCTGGAACAAATTAGACTCGTATCTTGATGTTCCAATGTACTTATTTTCTGTCTGAAATCTAAAGGTTGGTTGGTATTTGTAAGAAATTTCCATTGGTTACATTTTGTAATTTAAATGCATTGACAGCTAAATATTAAATTTTCATTTATTTATTTAAAAATAATAATAAATTTAATTTAAATAACATTTATTTCAAATAATTCTAATGCACTAAATAACTTGCTTTTAACTGAAAACAAACAAATTATGAAACCTTCAAAGAAGGGATAAAATTTTAGAATTAATAATCATAACTTATTCTCTTTTTTATTTATTAAATTTTTCTTACATGCATACAGGCAAAACACATACAGATGCATTATAAACTGAGAAACATCTTTATTTCTCACAACAAAAACCTCACGTCGTTTTGATTTTCATAAAACAAGAAGAAACATTACTAGAAATCATCTTCATTATGAATTGTATGTGCATAAATTAATAATTTCAACTGCATAAAAAAACTATTCAAACTTCCAAAAAAAAAGCAATCATTCACATTTCAAAAGTTCATAACTAACGGTATTTATTTATCTTTCGACAAAATGTTATTCAAATCTGTATTTTCCAAGCTTTGAATAAAATTTATATCACAGTGTAAATTTATTGGCTCCATCTGTAGAATTTTTGAGGCATTACTCACATTCATTCTTTGTAATGAAAATAATGTAAAACTGGATATCAAATCATTAAAATCTTAAGCTTTTTCTCCAAATTCTTGTAATAATAATGCTAACTGATTTATGGGAAATGCATTTGCAGACCATGCAAAAGCGCTTCAGGGACCACATGTTGCCCAACAGTCTGAGAGCACTGTAAGCCATTTGCTGCCAGGCTTTGTTAAGCAGTGGAAAATATTCAAATACTTCCAGAAGTCCTGAATGTTAATTATGAGACACAGATTACATCAAAACACCTCTGGAAACCATATGCTACCAACTCAAGTTTTGTAATTTGAGACACCTCATAAAAGACATTTTTTTGTTCCTCATACAAGGCATTTTTTCGTTCAGATAATTTGCTTGCAAACTGAAAAGATTGTGAAGTGTTTCTGATCCAAGGTTCCTTCGTGTTTTGATATTTACCTCTGAAAATCTTAACAAAAAAGTTAATATATTTTAAAGCTATGCTTTTACAAATAACTATTCCATTTCATACATCATTGCTAAAATAGTTGCTCTAATCTCCTTAGTCTTTATGCCAGAGTGCAACTGAGATGACTACATAAAATTTATATGTGAATATGAACTGCTCGGGCATCTAGTAAATGTTTCATAAACTTGTCTAGATTGTTAAAGAAATACTTCAATTTTTCCAAAGCCAGTTATATTTAAATATTAATTAAAAATTATTATTATATATATTTTTCTTAAATTAATGTTAAGAGTTTATATACAAAATACATGTATTTTTTAAACAGAAGACACCTATGTATGTTAAAATAAAAACATATACAACTTGCAAGTCTTTACAAACAATTGATGGAAACCAAGTCATATAACTGAAAAATAAATATATGAATGTGTGACAATGATTTTAAGTATAAAAAACTGGTTGTGTTAATAATTGTTAGAAGTCTGAAGCTAATAAATTTCAAGGTTTCCACAGACACAGGAGCAGAATTGATACAGAAATAATACACAGGACTTTTTTTAATATAAATATAAAATAAAAATCTGATTATTTTCATTATGTTTTAAAAATTTTCTATAATGCATTTATCAAATATGTAACAACAGAAAATAAAATATAAAATTATTCATTTCTTATGTTTGCCATAAATTTATCTTTAATTAAATGATTAATAAAAATTAAATAAAAATTGATTTTTCCAATATCAGATTGTTCTTGCTGTCTTTTTCAAATTTTATGTATAATATTCATCAACTATTTAAACAAAACTATAAAAAATTAAAATATAAAACATCCTTACATCATATCACTAAACTTTCATAGTTACATTAATGAAGCAACTGGTATGCAGGTATATACTAATAACATTTATATCTAGTTGTAATGAAAGTTTTCACCAAAAAACATTCATAATAAAGTTAGGGAAAAAACATGAAACCAGTACCTTTAGTGCAGGTAGTAATCATCTCCCAAATGTATGACTTTTTGCCAACATTTTGGTAGTTTTTCCTTAGGCCCAGAAACTTGGTGGCCAAGAGTCCAAAAACAGATCAACCTCATTTTGAACATACTGTGCAGAATGGAAGACCGCACCAAGATTTAGCTGCAGGTGTGAAAAAAGGTATAAGTCTGAAGGAGCACGGACTTTATGGTGGGTGTGGCAAAAGATCCCATTCGAGTTTGTATAGAATCCAGCTGGTGAATGCAGACACATATGGTCTTGCCTTACGTTGATCGAACATTACTTTTTTTCCCCGGAACTCATTTAAAAATTTTTCTTTGATAGCAGCATCAACACGAACTAGCATCTCACTGTGCCCCGGAACTCATTTAAAAATTTTTCTTTGATAGCAGCATCAACACGAACTAGCATCTCACTGTACCTCTTACTGTTGAGGATTTTATCTTTTTCCAGATACTCTTTGCGGATAATGCCATGGCAATCCCACAAGATACAAAGTATGATCTTTTTATTAGTCAAATTGCACTTTGTGACGCTGCTGATGAGCTCACTGGGTGCAGACCAACCCCCATTCTGGCCTATGTTCTTGATGAAAATCCACTTATCATAAGTGATCCGCTCCAGAATTTTGTCCTTGATATTCGAGCAGATTAGCACAAGCCTGAACAGGTTTGTCCTTATCTGTTTGAGTCAAGTTATGTGGCACCGAGCGATTGAACTTGTACATCAAATTTATGCAATGCATAGCGCAACTAATGGACATGGTACTAATGTCTAATGCCTTAACAAGCTCTCGAGTGGTTGCATATTGATCTTTTTCCACAAGTTCGTGCAGGCAGGCCTTATGAACATCAGTAGGCCAGCCAGAGTGCTCTGCTTCTTGAATGTCATAGTTCTTGTTTTTGAACTTTCAGTACCAAACCTTCACAGTGCACTAAAGCTGTACACATGATTTGGTGACATTCTGTAGCTGAATGTTTTGCAACAGAAATGGAAGTAAATGATGGTTCTAATCTGGTATACATGATTTTGGTGTACAATCTGATACACAGTTCCATTTCAGACGCCTCATACATAACGATATTTTTTTTACAAATTGCACAACACACTGTTCTAAAACAAGTCTCTTTATTTTGAATGCCAAAAATTATTTGACAAAATATGATTAAACATGGCAACGCAAACTGTTTGTGCAGATGATATTTGCGGTTGCAGAAAACTTTCGTTAAAACCCGATAGAATGTACAGCACAATAACTATTTTTAGTGTGCACTGTATTACAATATTCATACTAAAATATGGTGCTCAACTTTACAAAAAAGTTGGAAGAAACCAACTTTGAGTTTAAATGAGATTTAGACTATAGTTAAGGGTTGTGCAAATATATACTCACGTTTTTCCTGAGTGACTAGATATTCATATATAGCTATTTAAAAAATTTGCAATTTATGGAAAAATAATTTAGAAATGCATAGTTGGTTAAAAGTGTAACAAAGATTTAATTTAAACTATGGAAAAGAAATATAAAAGGAAAAAAGATATTTTGCTTTTTTCAATTACATGCATGATATTTAAATATTAGAAAACTATGCATTTCAAGGGTGCTAAGCAAGATATTTCTTTTTTTAAGGGGCAAAAATCTTATGTATTCCTCTTGAAATACATAGTTTGCAAATAAAAATAACCTATGTTTAAAATCTAACATTTAATTCTGCCTTAACATGAACTTCAAAACTGGCTAGCTTTCATTCTACATGTAAATTGAGCAAATGCTGGTAACTGTTAAAAATATTAATTGCTCTCAAAAAGTTCTACCTTGACAAAATGCAAAAGAGAGTTAGAGTACATAAAGTTATTTTCCCATTGGATTACTGCAGTGTCAACAAGTGGTATTCTTGCATTCTAAAATTATTTTATCTTGTGTTTAATGTTGGTGTTTTAACGCATTTATTGATATTATTTACTTGCTTATCAAAACACACACGTATATATAATCGCAGAAATTACTGACTATAATTATGTAATAACACCTTATTTACATTTGATGGCATAATGCACAATGATTTCTCTACCTTATTTACTCTCTACATTTATATATTTTTAAAATTTCCTTTTATTTTATACCTTTACAAATTAAAATACAGAGCAAATAATAATCTTTGCAATCTTTACTGCATGTTACTCTGCATCATTTATTGTTCTAAATTTAAAACTGTACTAGTAAAAAAATTTAAAATGAGCCTTACTATTGTTATTTTTTTTAATATCAATGAAGAATATCTCTAAATCGTATTAAACATTTCTATAAGAATATATACCTTTTACAACAGCTTGTTCTCCAGCTGGCATTACAAGAACTTTATCACCACTTTTAACAAATCCAGCCTCAATTTTTCCTGCTACACAAAACCCACCAGAAGTTCCTTTGAAAACATCAGCCACACATAGACGGAAGGGTTTTTCTACTTGTCTTTCTGGTGGCTTGAAATTATCTACAAGAAGAATTTAAAAGCTTAGAAGCGAAACAAAACAGTAAAAGCAAATTTTAAGCATATGAAATGAAATTTTAAGCAAAATAATTAAAATAAAAAAAAAATGATTGCATAAAATATAATAATCAAACAATCGATTATAATACAAATTTACTACATGATAAATGCTTGTTAAATCAAAATAATAGATATTATATAATTGGTAAAAATATTTTAAAAATAGTCATAGAAATGCTAACTTCCACCATATTTTTCACTTACATATTTACTTAATCTGTATTTAATGCAATATTCTCTGAAAAATATTACTCTTAGGAAAACATACTGAAATTTCTGCATTGAATTTAAAGATACTGAATTTAAAATAAATTTCTGGCGAAAAATATTTTCATGGAAGTATTTTCCGAATTTTTCACAGTGAAATCGGGTTACCTGTAGCGAGGTAAAAGCTCAGATACTGCACAAAGAGGTACGGTTGCCAAAAGTTAAAATCTTCACAGGAAACATAACCGTTTTTAATACAGAGGACATATCAGACCTGCTTTTTACTGCATGGAGATATGAACACACACAAAAGTTGCAAGTAGGTAATTGCTCATCCACATGCATGCTGCACCTTTTATAATAAAAGCCTCTTTACTGAGAGTGTAGGTTAACTTACCACACAAGCTGTTGGCTTTGGGATATTACTGCTAGTGCTTTCCCACTGGCTATAAGTAAATGCAAAGGTGAAAACAACATGGATCTTTTAAAAGTTTAATTTAGCTTCTAAGTTTTCCTTGTCATGCCTCTAAAGCTCCATGTTCCTGCATTTAAACAATAGGATTTAAGGTAATGTCCAAGAGTTTTGATCTCTAAGCTTCCTAAAAGAACTTTATGTAAACATAGTTAAAACTGATTACATCCAAATATTCTGCGTAAGAGAAATATAATCTGAAGTAAAAATACACAGTGCAAAGTCTTTAATCCGGACTCGTCGGGACTTCGGCGATTCCGGATTAGGGGTTTTTCTGGATTATAGATCATCAATTTAAATCTGGTAAGATGGCATGCAGAAATTATAAAATTAAAAATATGAAACCGTAATTTATGAAATAAAGAGCAATTATGATCTAAAAGGTATCAAAATTTACAAAAAAAAAAAAAAAAAAAAAAAAAGCTTAATATTTATCTGTTTACTTTATTAAACATTTCTTTCAATGTAAGTTGTTTAAGCTGCTTCATTTTATGTGCTAATACTTTCTCTTGCTTGTTCAGTTACAAAATTCCGCTATTCAAGTCCTGTAATTGCTGTGTTGAGAATACCGACTAACTTGTCAATCAAAATTTTTTCGTTTTCACTAACCTCTCTGTCACTTTCTTCATGCCTTTAATCCATTTTTTGCAGCAATTCCACTTTTTGTTTGATGGGCATCGAAACATGCTTTCGCTTTGTAGATCCTTTGGCAGCTCCAGAATCGGAAACTCTTTTTGACATAATCGAAAGTTCAACCTTCCTTTTTATAAAATTGCTCTAACAGTCTGCAAAAAATAATAAGCCGGATCCAATTAGAAGATTAAGGAATAACACAATCTGCAACATTAACTGAAATAGATAATTAGATAATTTTAGCCTAGCTTATACCGTTTGTTATACATTAAACGCGCATGCATGAACATATTATGTGCATGCGTAAACGCATATGCGTACACGTAAAGTTTACAGATCATTCCGGATTAAAGACTTTGTACTGTATTTATTTTTAAAATAAGAAATCAAGCATTTTCTTTTGATTATAATTATCAGTTGATTTTATTAACAGTAAATTGAAATGAAAATTGATGTTGTGTATACAACAGCATTAAATCTTGCTCAAATGAAGCATTACGCAATAACATGAAGAACAGAACCAGTAGCTGGTGACCATCTTTTGTAGTCACCTTCAACAGTCAGTTTATTAACCCTCTGATCGGGCAGGGTTTTCGCTAAGAAAGCGCAAATTTACCCAAACTACTATGAGAACAAATTACTTTTTTTTTTTATTTTAATGTAAAAACTCTCCTGGTATTTCATACCTGGATTTGTTTTCTTTTGATATATTACCTTTATTTCTTTGACAAGCGGCAAGGTTGTATATATGCGTTAATGTATTATGCGCATGCATAAAGGTATTATGCACATACGTAAATGCTACGCATGCGCAGAAAGTTTGTAGCTTTGATGTCCGGATTAAAGACTTTGTACTGTATAAACCTAATACCTATCCTAAGTTGTGCATTCGAGATATGAAAAATGCACATTAACATTCGTCAACTGGCTCAGTAGAATGGATAATATAGAACTGTGCCTTTTTCTTGTGTGTGTGTAGAGAGCAATATATAAAGAGCAATATGTATCTGACCAATATGTATCAAAAGCAATTTCCATGAATGAACAAAAAGTGCAATTTTTCTAATATGTACATGGCTTATCCAGAAGAAATCCTCTTAGCATATATATAATTTTATGGCAGCATATGTGTTAACAGAATTGGCTATCAACTGCCAATTCATGACATAGAGATCTAGTAAAAAGTAAGGAAGCTGTTGACATAGTTTTTCCACTTCATGTCCACAAGAGCCAGTTTTGCGGCATCCAAAATTCTACAACTTTTTCCCCTTTGATAAAAACTGGTTAGATGATTTGCACAATAAATGTGCAGGTATTCTATAATCCTGAATTAGCAAGTCATGCCATCTTTCTGCTTAAAGTCACATTTATGCAGGATGGAACATCAGCTCCTATCCCATGTCCATTAAGGAAATTCTTTATGAGAATTGCATGGCAAAGTTACACATATGAGTAAGTTCTGGAAAATCCCATGGAATCTTCAATCTCTAGATTAGATTCCTGTTGACTATTGCCATTTTTATATATCATGTATATATTTCCTTTCTATTTCATTTCTAAGGTTATGGCCCTCTTTACCGTCTATTAGTTTGGAAGATATTTACAATTAAGATATTCCACATTTCTGTGAACCTCCTTGCAAAATGAATCACATTTGACCAGAAAAGCTGAACTCTGCAGTCACTAGCTTGAATTGCCATACTTTGTGATAGAAGTGATTATGAAATTTTGCTGTCATGATAAATAAATTGAACAAACAGCAGCCACTATCAAATGCCTTAGATGCCATCAATATGTGTCCATGTTAAATTATTCCTATTTCACAAAAGTTTACTCATCTTAACAATAACAATAGCTCTGCAGCAACTCGCACTTTAAAGACATGAATTTCCATTCCCCCCCCCATCAGTTTTGGAAATTTACATGAACTTGTAGCATAATTTAAGACATCTTAATATTATTTACAATAATAATAAAGAACAAAATCTTGCAGAAAACTCCTCCTACATATCTCAAAATGTTATAATCAGTTTTTATTCACAATGTACAGATAAATTCTGCATGTGAAAAAGACAGTATGTTAAATAAAATATTTTAAAAGAATCTGAAATTAAATTTACCAATCACATCAATTAATGTAGAGCCAGTATACCACTTCCTGAGCTCTGGAGTTTCAGGTGGATTCAACAAATTTTCTCCAGTGAGACCACTGCAAGGAACAAATGCTACATCACATTCCTTAAAACCTACTTGCTTTAAGAACGATGACATCTTAGTTACAATATCTTTATATCTTTCTTCAGCATAATTAACATTGTCCATTTTATTAACAGCAACAGCAATTTGTGAAACACCTGAAATGTAAAAATTTTAAATTAAAGGAACTGAAAATTATTTGATACATATTCTTAATACTATAATTGTTTCCCAATCAATATGCTGTGAAGCCCTATGATATATGTCACTAAATATTTAAATACATATACTTAGAATTTCTCACCTACTTTCAACACATTTGGTCAAATCAGAATTAAAAAAAAAAAAAAAAAAAATTCTAAACGCATGAAACAGACACATTTTAAAAGCAACCAAGAGTTGGTCGATTAATCATGCAATCACATGTTGACAAATTCTGAAATACACTAAGTGTAATTTCACATGGACAAGTGAATGTTAATAGATTACCATGAATAACAATAAAACCGAAATAATTTGCTACAAGATCACAAGTGTTGTTAAGAAAGCGCCAATCAGACAAGTATCTATCTTTACTTTGTAATGAATAACAGATAACAATTAACATTGATGACTTATTATTTACAACAATGCCATTATAAATAATCATACATTAAATAAAATATTTTGGAATGCATTTTGATGTGATCGTTACTGATACATAACAACAGCTGTCGTCAACGAGCAGATTAATAAATAAGAAACAATCAAGTGCTAGAATCTTTGAAATTATATGCTGGAACTGGATGACGTAAAGGTTCTTTTCCATACCACATTTAAATCAGCAGTTCTTTTACATACAGACCCATCAACAGCTTTTCAAAGGGCTCGTACACTTTTCTGTATGTGGAATTAATTACTTTTAAGGACCATCAATGAAAAAAATTAAGGACCTATCAAGCAAATAGGAGCTGAATAAACTAAAGCAATTATCTACACCTGAACATTTGTAGTAACACTTTTGCAATTTGTAAATATAAAATACAGCTGTCAGTGATATGCATTATTAAGCATAATCTAATATTTAATTTAATTATAAAACAAATTCAAGAATAAAATTAACTTCATAATTTTTTTTCATGTAATTACCATTAAATTATAAAATTTCTTGAAACATTTATAATTTAAACTCATAATAGTCCTACATATTTTAAAGAAGTTTAGAGGCTTTTTCTTTAAATTGTACTAATAGTTTACTTTATTGATTCTTTCTTTTGCGCTTTATTTCATCATGTTCTTGCTCAGTTCAAAAGATTATGCAAGTTTTACGTTAAGTGGCATAAGTTAAATTGTAAAGTAAAACAATAATCAACATGTCTCATAACAGAAGCTTGGCTGTTGCCACTGCAGCTGCTTAAGTTAATTGCTTAAGTTAATTGCAGATTTGCTACCACTGATCAGAAAACACATGAATGCCTGAAGTTGGTATGATTGGAAAGTGTTGAAAGTTAGCTGCCCATTATCAACCCAGTTAGTGTTGTAGCTTCAAGCATATTTGTGAGAGTTTTAACCCAATTAATATACAATATTTAATACATAATTCCAATAAGCCACTGAGGTATCAGAGATGAGAATTTTTTTTTTTTGGGGGGGGGTTATTATAAGTCTTATTAGCCATAAAGAGTAAAGTTTAGCTTTATCTTGCATCTACAACAAAGATTAAGGGAAAGCAGTAACTCACCTTAACATGTAGAGGTAACTTCCATGGGTGGTCAGTTAGTTACAAAAAATAATTAAATAATATAGCCAGATACCCTTAGTCATAACAGAGTTGGCTGGTTACAAATGCAATTTTTTTTAAAATTTTTTATAAATATTCATTAAAAAAGCACTAAGAATATTTTATAGCAGTTATAATTTATATTATTGACTCTAAAATGATATTAGTGCATATGTTACAAGTATACATTAGTAGATACATACATTATAAATACACATTAAAAGCTATAAAACATTTATGTTTTGAAGCAAAAAAAAATTTTCAACCAAATACAAGCTGAAGACAACCGGTCCAAGTGTTATAACAATTAAAAGTTCAATTAAAAAATTCGAGAGAACTAGTAGTGTTTGTGTTGGCAAGGATGGTCATTAAGCAAATGTGAAAGTAGAAAATGGATGAAAATATAGAGAAAACATGAATTGTTTTTCAAAATAGCACAAGTACATTGATCAGACGAGCTTCACAACAGGACAGAATCAAACGGGAGACTTTGCAACAAATTGTTGTTCAAGACCTGCAGCTATTTACGTACAAAATTCAAATTCACTTCAATGGCAATGGCATCATTGCTACTGAACAGCGCTTGTGTTTTGCCAAAACTATTGTCAATATGATTGACAAACAAGAATTTTATGTGAATGCAGTTTGATTTAGAGATGAAGCCCACTTTTGGGCTATCAGCAGCAACCACCTTAATTTACTGCCGACTGGTTTCTGATCAAATCTGCTGAAGCAAATTTGCAAAATATTAAGCCAAAACTTTCTAAGTTGCCTTGCACTGCACATGCTTGACTCTTTGTGTTTTGCATGCCTTGATGCACTCTCTGACATCATGGTGTTGATATTAGCATATGCAGTCACCTTTCCACTGATTTGGTTTTCATTGTACTGATCACAAAAGTCCTTTACACCAATTTCATGCCTGTATATTGAAAAACAGATTTCTTGTTTAAATTTTGCACACTAGCACATAAAGCATTAAACTTCTTGGATGTAAATGTCCTGTAAGGCTACTCCCTAAACTTCTTTTGCAAGTGTTGCAAATTACAATATAAGTGTTATAAGAGTTTTCCACTGCATTTGGATACATAGTTTTTGAGCTCAGTAACAGGATATAAACTATTTCTAATGTAAAATTATAATGCTGGATAAAGCTAGTTAGATCTGAAGAGGATAATATAAATCATATATTTTGCAACAGAAATAAATACACATATGAAACCTGCATTTTAAAGGGTAAAGAAAATTAATTTCTTACGTATTATATCTTTCTAATCCTGTGCAAAATGTGCCCCTCTTAAGAAAATACCTACACCATACTTGGAATTATTTTTTATGCCCGACAATAGCTTAACATATCTGATCAGGGACAGATACAACTGAAACTGATTCCATTTATTTAAAATTATACCACTTTGAGGTTGTTTTTCTTTAATTTTACATTTTACATTGCCATATTTCTCCTCATCGCCATATTTCTATGTAGATAATGTGAATTTCTAAAAGCTAAAAGTCACCTGCTTACAAAAAGTTAATGATGCAAAAGTAGGCAAGAATTAACTCAAAGTTGAAAACTTATTAAAAAATATAGTTTAACAATGAAGAAAATAGGAATTCTCACCAAGTGAACGTATTAGCATAGTATGCTCTCTTGTTTGACCTCCCATTTCAAATCCTGTTTCAAATTCCCCTCTTGTAGTATCAACGACTAAAATAGCAACATCTGCTTGAGCAGCACCTAATTAATAGTGAATATTAAAAATAAATAAAATGATTTTAAAGTACTCTTATATGAAATTAAATATTACAAACTTATCAAGTAATGACTATTACCAACTATCATATTAGGAATGAAATCTTTGTGACCAGGCGCATCAATATGTACAACAGATCTATGTTTTGTTTCAAATTTTGTCTGAGCAATATCCATTGTTATGCCACGGTTCCTTGAAAAAAAAAAAAAAACTTTCATGAAGAATCATTGCCCTCAACAAATGCACCAACATTTCTAATTTCTGCTAATTTAAGGAATAACAAACCTTTCTTCAGAAGTTTCATCTAGGACCCAAGCATACATGAAAGATGATTTTCCAAGCTTTTTAGAATCTTGTTCAAATTTATGCATTGCCCTTTTAGAAACCTGACCCAATCTAAAAAATTCAAACATAACTACATTAATATACACCAGACTAATTGTACAATTGATAAAAAAAAGGAAAGAAAAAAAAAAAAAAAAAGAATTTTTGACTTCAGAAAATCTTGAAAAATACACAAAAGTAACAAAATATCATTAATGAAATTAAGAATGGTTTAAATACAAATTGCATAATTTTTTTTTCAAAAACTTTTTCTAATGGGGGGGATCTTGATTTTTCTTGCAATATAGCATTTCTCTTATTACTGAAATTACATCAAGCACATAAATCTGAAATATATCAAGGCCTCCCAGCATTTAAACTACTATAAAAAAGCAATTTCTAATGTAATCAAGGGCTAATTGCTATCTAAGAAATTCTTCTCATTAAAAGACTTTCCATGGGATGGAAATTTATCAGCCTATCATTCCAATCCTCTGGATTCATAATTGGCACTGATGAAATCTTCAGCCCAAGTGATATTTGCACTCATATATTGAAGTTGATTCTTAAGAGGACATCACTCTCCTCAAATTCTATACTTACAGTACTCAAAGAAGCCTTTCAGAAAGAATTCTATACACAGACTACCAACAAATTCCTCCACATTTTACTGGCAAAAAAGACAACACTTAGATTATTTAATGTTTTATTCCAATCAGAATCCAAGGCTGCATAAAATATTGTTTCCCATTTATACTAGATTTTAATCTTTTACAATAAGTTTGTTTATATCACTCTTGTTTGGATTCAAAGCATGCAAAATTTTATCCTTGTTTTCTATGGTTGATTTGCTTATATATTATACTACTGGCACAATCTGCTAGTAAAAGATAGTACTCAATATTATCCCAAAACATTCAGCTGAAGAAAACACTTCATGCTTTGATATTCTGACTGTTCAAAACTTGGAACTGATGAAGATGATATATGGACATGGCAGCACTTTGAGGCCTCACTCATTGTTTAGGTCAGATAAAAGTATGCTAACTCCCCCCCCCCAAAGGATTGACAAGAGCTGGTGCTGTTGCACTGGACATCATAGTTTAGAAGACAAAGCAATAAAAATTAAGGATGGCAGAAACTGTAATCCTGACCAACATCCAGTGAATGACATTCAATGCATTGTTATTATTTACACTGCGATATTCTGGCCAGCAGGTCACCTGGCACCTGTAAGTGACATTCAAGAATCGTAATTAGTCAGAAGAAAAACATTAATTTGTCACACCTGCTTCCCTTTGTTGAGCATCATATTCTCCATTCCTGGATTTTGTAGGGAGGAGAATTTTTGTAATGAACAAATTAACCATTTGGGGGGGGGCTGGTAGTCTGGATATTAGATCATTCCAGATATTGGACATCTAGATTTTAGACTTTATACTTCAGCGACCAATTTCATATATTCTGAGCATCCCCGACTCAATGCAGCTGCTTGTCTTGAAAGTGATTTTAAAAACATTGTATATACTTGGTACATATGTCATACTTTTTGAAATTATGATTGTTTTTGCAAATGTAAACTCTTCTTTTAAGCATATTTATCATTTAAACTAATTTGCTCAGCACTTTTACTCACACAGAGTAATTAAGCCTAGCAAGACAGACAGTGATTTTGCACTGGTGCTGATTCTCTCTTCTTCCAGGAGTTTTTTCCTTCATGTTTATTTTATGTTATTTTCAGCCTCCAACACTGTGGGACAAATGTTATTGTTAGTGCATGAGCTAAATAAGCTCTTCTGCCCACTGGATAATTTTTACTGAAACTACATTAGAACTTATATTTTTGAATTTTAAGGTGATTTACTTTACTGATTTTCTGATATTTTAAATGCATCCATGCTCTTATTTTTAATTGTATTTTAAACTTCTTTTATTATTTTAAGTGAATATAAAATATTGAGCCTTCCATGGTATTGCTATTATATTATACCTGTATTTGGATTCATTGGTAAAATGAATGAAACTAAAACTATTTGTAATACTCGTGAGGGTGAGGTCCCCCACTCAGGAAACCGTAACTGTAATTAAAATATCTGTTATTAAAAATTGTATTGATGGGGAAAATAGTAGCCTTGTAGTAATGGAGCTTTAAAAATGCATCGAGTTACAAAATGCATAAAAAGTTACAAGAAAATGGGTACTAAGGAAATTACTTACAGCCTGACTCAGAGCCTAGATAAAATTATGGAGTTAACAGCACAAATTTTAAAGATAATAGAAGCTGATAATGCTAAAAACTAGAAGTAAAGTGTTAGAAGAATTTATAGATGATATCATCATCATTAGATTTTTATTAAAGAAAAATTTGCTTGGTAAAGTACATAGAAAGACGAGTAAGGCTTCACAATCAGTAAAGGAGTTAAGAGAACTTACAAAAAGAAGAATGGAGATTTGGTAGTTAAATTGGGAAATAATATTTGTTAGTCCTTGTGTGATTATACATATAATATGTGTAAATCAATAAATAATGATGATCTTGTAGAAAAGGTGAAAGAATATTGTACTTGTGGCAGCAATTGTGTTTGCTGATTTACCTCAAATACAATGCAGCAAGATACTACATCATGCCCATCTCTTTTGGTAATACAGAAATGATACACTTTGTAGCCTACTCACCTTCTTTGGGATATAAACTAATTTCAAGACTCAAGCTGAACACAAGCGGCTTATCACTATGTCCAGTAATCAGACAATGAATATAAGAAGGATGTAAAAGACCCTTTTATTAAAACTTGGTAATTTAAGAGATAGCACTTCTTGTGCTTACAACACCAGAAAGTAATGAATTCAATTTAAAGTTAAACTAAGCTGTAAGTTAGCCATGGCCTACATAAAATTAATATGTGCAAGATGGCTCAAACTTAAGCCAGCATGATAAGCATTAAGGGAAGAATAATGCAATCCCAAAGACAGACAGCTATGAGAAAGATTCAACTACTAAAATGGCCTTCAGCAGGTGAAACGGGATGCTCTGATTAAACAAACAAACCTTCCTTTCTGGCAGGAAAACGGAAAGTGAGAATGATATTAAAGGTACTGAACATAAAACTAGTTAGAAAAATTAACAATGCCTTACAATTTTAAGCACATTATAAAATTCTATATGATAGAAAACACAGACACAAATGCACACCAAAAAAGTATGAACAGATTTTAAGTAAGGCAACATATTTAATCTGTAAAACAATGTACTACAGTACTTATTATAATACCTGTATAATAAATGGCCCATCAAAGTACTTTTCCCAGCATCAACATGCCCAATAACAACAAGATTAATGAGAGGCTTTTCCTGACTTCTTTCCTTTAAATACAGTTCAGAAATAGCTTTCTCTGACTTTAATGACCTAAAACATAATTCAAAAATAAATTTAGAATAATTATTGCATATTTCTGTGTACATGGCAAGAGTTTTTAAGGAGGTTTCTACAACTGAAGTTTGAGGATTTGCTTATATATGAATGCAAAATAATTTACATATAATTTGTTCACAAAATTGATATTATAGGTTAAGGAATTTAAAAAACATTATTTTTATTGTATTTAAACCATATAACATTAGCCTCAGAATTTTCTAATTGTCCTGAAGGTCTTCTTCTGCAAAGGTGAATCTTTTTTAATGTCATCTTCCTACATTCTACCATTAAAATTGCTATCACCTATCTCAGAGATAATATTATCTTCAGCTCCGCTATAATACTAAAAAACTGATAACTTTCAGTTTCAAGTTAACAGAATATGCAGTTCTTTCTTGGCCAAGTATCTTTCACTTTATATCAGAAAAGAAGAACTGTACTTTGAAATTGCACAAGTAGTTTATTACAAATGCAAAAACACATCTGAGGAAGGGGGAAAAAATCTCATACAGTTAAACAATGGTTACCAAAATCAAAAGTATTCATAAATATGGTCAAAATTAATTTATAAATAAATGCAAATAAATGCTTGCTTGACTATCTAATTTACATATATTCTTTTTCATAGTATGGTAATTTACCGTAACAAAATTGTCTTTTGCAAGTTCAAAGTAAGATGTTTGTTTAATTTTTATTTATTTATATATTACAGTTTATAGTTGTTTTGTAGATGTTATAAAATGTTATCAATGATCCATAAGTATGAAATGGAATTACTGAATAAATGAATATTAAGTGCCATGTTTTGGAATTCATTGCTGCAATATATAGGATATATACGGCAGAGGATCTTATCCAATTAACTTTCCCTTTTTTTAGTCAATTATCACGTGTGTGGTGGATATGCCAGCACATCTTCTCGACCCAAAATTAAGCTATATTATAGTACAATATTTGCTCATGAGAAATAATTCTATACTTAAAAGGTAGAGCCACTGCTTATAGGAGAAATGGTGCTAAATATATTATTAAAACCTTGATTTGAATTAAAAACATTAAAATCACAGCTTTAGACTTTTTATTTTAGCAAGGAAAAAAATTCCATCCTTCTTCTGCTACAGGAATATACATGTTATATACACTGTTTATGATAATTATACTTCCTACTGAAGATCAATTCCTATTTTTATGATGGGTTATTTACCTGAATCTGCAATTGAAGAAAAACTATTCTAGACAAAAAAAAAAAAAAAAAAGTCTTTGAGCATTTTGTACATAGTTTTCTTAACACTTATTATCTTTTTCCATATTCAGATTAGTTTAGTTTAAAACTCTAGGTAAAAACATGGTTATTCTTCATGCCAGTGCATTGTCATCAATAGTATAATCAGAAATAAGTTTTTTCAGAGCATTACTGAAACATTTGAAACTGGTACGGGAAGTAAAGATCTTAAAAATGCAGATCATTTTAAATAAATTCTTCTAAAAATAGTCTATAAATAAATAAATTATATTGTCACATCTAAGAACTAAATAACTATGCATGTTTTATTATTTGTAATGCATAAAATATAAGTACTTACTTTGCATTATTAATTTTAGTTCCTTCATAGACTTTTTTATCAATTTCAGAGACATTTCCACTCAAAAGCCCAGAAGTTTGGCTTAAAATAAAAAGATTATTTGTAAGCAATGTTTTCTCAAGACTTGATGTCAAATAGCAACTATAATAATTTAGAGAAAAAAAAATTTGGGTGCATTACACAAAATTAAAAGTTAAAAAAAAAAAAAAAAAAACTTTACTGCTAAAAGATTTCGAAACAAAATTCTCGAGATGGAAGTAAAACACAAATTTTCAATCATGTATCTAAAATGTACAACACAACTATTAACAAAATAATCAATGTAGTTAAAATATAGGAGAAAATGAGCTAGTGCAAAATAGCAATATATGCATGACACTAGTCAAAGTACAAGAGCAATGTTCAGACTTCTGATACACTAATCAGTGTCATGTGTGTGTTAGTAACCTATGCAGTCTTAATGCAGAATTTAAAACTACATAAACATTTTTCAAAAGCAATTAGCTACAAATGGTGAAAGCATTTTTAAGACACAATTTTTAAAAATTACATTACACCAAAGTCAAAAATAAGTACAATTAGTCAGATTTAGTTTCAAATATACAGTTAAAAGCATATGAAAGCTGCTTCTTAAGCTGATTTTAATGATAAGCTTTTATTTAAGGGAAATTAGTTTTTCATGAATATGCATAAAGAATACCATAAAAAATATGTAAATACGTTGGCCCATAGAAGTCAAGTCAAATCATCTCGGACAAACTGTGTCAGACAGACTTGTCAGTGTTGCACTTTTATATATTGGAGGGTGGTGTAATATTAAAACTGGAAATTTGTTTTCAATGAACCTCAGTGGCCTTTAGTATGGCAGAATGGTAAACAGGAAGGGTATTAAAAGTGTTTCCCATAAAACCCAGATTTTTGATATGTATGTATTGTGCAAAAGGTGGGATTTTGGTAGGCAACAAAAAATGATAAAATGCTAATACACGTAATTTGCTATCAACCATAATTCTTGCTTCCTTGTTGCAACCATATACACAATTTTTTCTGTTTTTGAAAAAATCACACTCTGTTAGCTTAGATGTGTTATATATTTGTTGTTTTCTACACAGGTATCCGGATATTTATTTATTTATTTTTTGAAAATTACAAAAGTATTACGGAAAAGTGAATAATTTGTTAATTTCCCTTATTTCTGAAATTAAGAAATCCAGAGCCCTTTTAAAAGGTCAAAGAGTGCAATGAATAAAAATAACAGATATAAATAAATGAATAATTAAATAAAATAAAAACAGAAAAGATAGTCTGAAAGCTTTCAGATTTTATATTATGCCCAAAGGGGCATTTTTAAACATTTTGTATGTTACCTTTATTTATTAAATACCATGTCCTTCACACTTAAGCCACATAAAATTCAATTCAACAGCAATGTCCCAAAATATTTAAAAACAGCATATCTTTAAAATTTCTGATGTAGAGTCTTGAACGCTGGAGATAAAAAAAAATTTTTCCCCCATACAGTGTTGCCATTGCTTGTTTAGATATCGTTGAGTTTGTTAATCAAAAATTCATTAAAATTTTACAAAATTTGAATTAAATAATAAAACAAATTCTAAATTAAAAATTCAGCCTTCCAATTGCCCATGTTCGGTTAGAGGACTGTATTATTCAAAATTTGATGGCTTTCGGTACTGTTGTTTTCTCACAATGCGAAAAACCTACATACACTCATGCAGATTCTTCATTATTTAGTTTCTTTAAATATAATACATGGCAATAATATTTGGTGGCAACAGTTTGAAGAGTGAACCAATGCAGAAAGTAAAACGACACAAAATGCCGTTTTGATACTAATAGCCCTCTGGGTTTAACGTCCCTTTGGGATAATTATTAATAAATAATTCAATTAAAATAAGCATAATAAATTTAAAACAAAAAAGTAACAAATTTAAAGAAACTAACGAAAAGATACACAATTTAAATAATATCAAAAGAAATAGAATCAAATACATTTAGCATAGTGTATAAAAAGCGAACAATTTGAACAGCATTTCAGTTCATTTAAAAGAACACATTTTTTATTTTTAATATTTCCTAAAACAAATAATATTCCATTTCGTTTGGAGCTTTATTGCTCTGACGCTGGAATTACTTTTTCTATCAAAAAAGAAAAACAGGAGCTTTAGCAGAACTTTTGTACTATTCCCATATAGTAAAATAATAAAGAAACTAATTATTTCTATTCTTTCTAAATGTCAAAAGCAGATGTTACTTACTTTTACCTACAAAATTCAGCAATTCACATAATATTTGAACATGGTACAGCATGACTTATTTGAATACGAATTTCTCATAATTGTTATTGCAAATAAAATTTAAATACTAAACAGCAGAGAAGCAAAAGACACACTTTAATATAAATATCTATTTAAATTTGTACAATTCAACTATAATCAGTTACTTTCCCTTCTTGGCATTTTAATAACATGCAATCCCTTTAATTTGAGTATTTCATATTGAAAACTCATTCAGTTTGGTCTTCATTTCATATTAAATCTAGGCACTATAAAATATATATATATATATATATATATATATTAAAATTCCTTCTGCAATTTTTACCCCTTTTTGGGGGGATTTAATATTTAAAATTGGGGGAAGAACCTTAGACTGGTGCAGATTTTGAATAAAACTTTATCCATTAAAGGGCAATCAGGCAGTTTTATGAGTTAAAAAAAGAGGGGGGTACCAAAATTTTGGCAGAACTTTTTTGCTATTAAAGATAGACTTATGTGTGTCTGATCAACCTTGAATTCAATACCGTTTTATTTAAAATCTATGCGAGACTACAGTTGATTTCTTGCCTAATTTTAAATTTTACACTGATATATTTCTCTGAAAAACAAACTTGATGTTTTCAACGTGCTGCTCATTGTCAAGAAATCAATTATTTACTGCTAATGAATGTTCATCATTTGTCATGGAAAAAAACTTTAAATTTTGAATTTTTAACCATTAAAAACGAAATTTTTCAATTAGAAAGAACTGAAGCAATCTAGTAAACTTCTTTCCCTTTACAGTTAGTTAGTTACAAATCTTGAATTATTAAGCTATTGTCCTCTCAAATTTAGAAACATTTCAACTTAAAAAGGTAAGTAGTAAGGCAAACTGAATTCTTAAATAATTCATAAAATCTATTACAAGTTACATTGGCCTAGACTTGACTTGAATTTCAGCATTAAAAAACATGAAGCTTATGCCACCAAAGGAAGACTTGATAAACAATTTATTAAGTACCGCTGGTCTTTCAACTATTCTATTCCCCACCCCTAAAATTATCAATTCTAAAATTAGATTGCCCTGAAACCTTGAACATTCATCAAAATATAATAAATTTAATCATCAATTTTAACTCCAATCTTCCTTTTCCAAAAGAATTTATATAACTCAAGTCATATATCTGCTTTATAAGTTAACAGATTTGAGCTGCAAGCTGAACAGTTACAGCAGCATGTCCATAATGTTCAAGGACATATTCCTCCTTCTGTCCCAGCAACCTTTCAAGAAAACTTTCAAGCTCAACAAAATTTCCAATGCCTCTCTAATATATACTACAGTCATTTATATCCTTTCCTCATACAGGACTTGAAACTGGACCCAATACCAGATGTATTCATCCTCTACTCATCATATCATACAGAGTGGCGAAAAAATAAGAATTATTTATTATTTTATAAAATGGGAGAACCCATCAAACTCCAATATTAAGACACAATAACACGCCGAATAAATACTAATTCAGAAGTCAAACAACAAAAATCAGCGTTATATTTACCAAATTTTCACAGGACTAGTTTCGATGGTTTTAACCGAACCACCATCTTCAGCTGCAAAACCGGGGGGGGGGATCCGGTTTTTGCAGCTGAAGATGGTGGTTCGGTAAAATCATCGAAACTAGTCCTGTGAAAATTTGGTAAATATAACACTGATTTTTGTTGTTTGACTTCTGAATTAGTAAACTCCAATATGCTACACTCCAAAAATATTTCAATTACCAAGAACAAACAGCTTAACTTGTAAGAATATAAAATTATGAGAGGGGAAAACTTACTAAATTTTTTTTTTTTTTTTTTTTCATTACTATCATTTGAAATTAAACATGAAAGCTTTACAAGTTATCAGTTGTTTATCAACTGATTTCCCCAATGCACATTTTAACAAAATGCGGTACTTTTCCGCTTTGCCGGCGCAAATCTCGCCAAGCAGACTTTATTACCGACAAGATACGGTATACATATAAATGTTAACAAATGTTAGTTCTAAGAATTTTATATTTTTTTTATTTTGAATGCATAAACATTTTAATATCATTTAAAATTTTGTAAAAAGCCAATAAATTTGTAAAGAGACATTAATTTAAGAATTTATTATGCTTTCATGGTTCAACAAGCTGATTCTCCAGTTCATATCACGTGACTCCAAGTGATCTCATATCATGTAAACTACGGTACAAAAATCTAATTCTGTCAGTAATTATCTACATTAATTTCAAGTTAAATCTTAATTTGGAATACAAGTTTAAAAGCAAGAATTATTACAATTCATACGAATAGCTTATTCAGAAATTATGTAAAACCAGAGTGCTTTACTTTGCTAGCGTATTCTCATTAGAATGGATGAATTTAATCCTTGACTTTGCCTTTCCTATATTTTTGCCTTCAGGTGAGCGGTGTGATTGCATTCTAATTGACTTAATTATCGCGAATGGCCTTAGGGCATAAAATTGTACTATGTGATAAATATTCTATGTAACTGTATGCCAGTATTGAAAGAAACAACAAATCTAATAAGAAATGGCTGCGACTTGTTTTGAAAATGAGGCGTAAAAGGTTACCAGCGAGGATATTCCGTTTGGCATCAGTTGTACCATTATTGGCAACTTTATTGGTTGTGCCGGCAAAACGGAAAAGTACCTAAATTGCATCTAATTCAATTATTTTAGTAATATAATGTATTTTTTAATGTAATCGATTAATATAATGTCATTTTTTAAGGATTTTGCTACAAATGATTTAATTACAAAGTATGCATATTTAAAACTTACAGTTTAGCATCTTGTATGGTTTCCAATTTTGCAGTAGGAGAATCTTTGGAACTATCAGGTCCAGACTGAGAGAAAATTTGAGATTTACACTGAAAATCAAGCTGAGCATCAGGAACTATGGAAAAAATCATTCAGCATAAACGCATGTATCAGGAAAATGAATGTAAATTAATTTTCAAGAAAGGGTGAGGAAAGAATTTAATGCATATGAAATTGCTTATGAATTTACTAAATACAAACATAAAGACAGATTACAATATAAATAATGCAGCATACTCCATACCATAGTACATGACTTTTTTTTTTAGATTATACAATGCTTATTACAAAAAAATTTTGATAGTGTTCTTTATCCAACCTAATTTCCCTTCTGTTCAGAAAGTGATATTCATTTCTAAACTTAGGAAACTAATCAATTATTCAAACAAAGTAATACAGAATTTAAAATGTTAATTTAATAAACAATTTCTCGATGTGTATGCTTTATATGTTACTGAGGTCACAGTTTTAGGACCAGTATAAAGCTTGACTTCATGCATGCTTTCTCTCTTCTTGCAGACACAATTTTAGTCACACCCTGGGTACTAAGCAGTATTCCTGATGACTATGCAAGTAGATAGCCAGTGGCCAATGAATGCCTTATTGGCAACTATTCAAAACTGTTAAAAAATATAAAAAAAAGAATACACAAATTGTATAAACCAAAATGTAAAGATCTAAATAAACCAATAGTGTTAAAAAACAAAATATAGTATTACAAGTCTCTCATAAAAATGCATATTACATTGCTAGCTATTATAAATTATTTTCATACTTATTCGGTATTGAGAGCTTTAGTAGGTATGCCTAAAACCAGACTTGCATAAGGGTGCATGCATCCTCTTGAATGCTGCTTTTCTTAAACTAGAAAATGAGTTTGTGCACACACATGGCACAGGTGGGCAGGGTGGTGGAGGAGGATTGTTAGGACACTGAAAGAGGTTTTAAAGAGAACCACAGGAAAAGCAGGTCTAACATATGAAGAAATACAGCCTACCTTATGCGACTGTAAATCTGTGATCAATTCACATCCACTTACATACCCATCTGTAGATTCAGCTGATTTAATTCCTCTTATGCAAGTCTTTATTCCTTCTTGAAAATTCTGAGAGTAAGATGACTGACACTGATTTTATTAATGCTAATCACTATCATAAATGTATTTGATATCATTATAAACTTTTAGAGGAACTAAGAATACATTTTCACAAAGAGTACCTTGGCTTGTTAATTCAGCATTAAAACCAGAAACTTCATTAATCCAATGCGAAATTCGGTGTAGTGTTCTCACTGGAGATGATTTTCAAAATCATCCTAATTGGCCTCTTGCCACAGTTATAGAGCTTATACTGGGAAAAGGGAGTACAGTGCCAAAGTGAAAATTCACTCTAATATTTTAACTAGACCTATCCAGAGAATCTTTCCTTTGGAGCTATAATCTAATAATTATCTTTTAACCGCTTGCCTGATTATCCCGAGTTATCTCGGGTTTGTATATATTGCAGTGAATTATTATCCCGAGAAAACTCGGGCAAAGCAGAATTTGTTAGTACGATTTCTTTTATCACGGTTTTACTCGGTCTGGAGGAAATGAAAGGAAATATTCAGCTTTGATTGGCAGTTTGCCAAATTTTGTTGGTTGCGCGGTTCTTTTGGAAGGACTGGTTGCGTGTTTCCCTTTTGTATAGTATACGTTGGCTTGTGGATTACTAATGTATAAAGAAGGATGCATGTGTTGGGAAAAAAATAAAATTTTGTCGATGATGCAAGATAGCAAAAGCGATGATTTTTCAGATAGTGATTATGAAGAGGTGGGGAAGGTAAAAAAAAATCAAATCCAACGAGACAGTGTACTCTGTGCTCCCGTGAAAGAGATTCCAGCGGTAAGCCAGTAAGAAAAGAGACCAGATACCAGTGTAGAACGTCAGGTATCACTCTGTGTTGTCCCTTGTTTCAAAAACAATCATACAAAGATTAATATTTAACTATTTTCGTTTGCCCGAGATAATTCGGGATAGTAAACTAATATTAAAAATAAATGCTTTTACACCTCCAAAAAATTAAAAATTCAACTTAAAACCTACATATTTTGATTTGTTTCGTTTTGTTGTATTTAATAATAAAATAAAAAAATGTGATGATTTTTTGCAATTTTTTTCAAAAAAAAATTGTAAGGGAAGCGGTTAAAAGTTAAATGCAGTGATGCCAGTCGAAATGAAACCATTTTACAACAGACTTAGATGTCCAAACTTCTTCATTCAGAAGAATTATTTAATTATCTTGCCGCCTTGATCTGTGTAATATTTTCAAGAGTTCTGAAGAACCTGCAGTAGGCGTACACTCAAAAGGAAGATGAAAAGATGAAATGATAATATAAAGAAGAAAAGATAATCAAACCTTACTATTCCACTGGATTTGAAGTAAAGCTATCGATGAATTCTTTTCAAGCAATATGAAAGAACTCAGCTGAAGGAACACTTCTCTTTTTCTTTCATCTTCAATTGTGAACGTGAATCTGTGAAGCAGCATTGTTAAATTTGATCCCTTTCAGTTTCTAATTTCTTTTATTACTTGTTATTAGTTAAATGTTATTGAATTGTTAATGGGTCTCTTAGTCATTTACTTAGTCGATTCAATAGCTGCTAAGCATTGGTAAGAGCCACTTTAGAATGTGTCTATTCTAAAGTGGAACAACACTATATTCATTTTTGTGAATTCTACAACAGGAATTGGAACTAATCATTCTGAAAATATGCATAACATTTGATTTAATATCAAGACATTTTCAAATATGTGGCCTTTCATGGCCATCTTAAGATTTGGAAAAAAAGAAAAAAATCAGCTGGCGATAAACCTGGAGAATATGATATGTGACTTATCTCTGCAGCTGAATGCTTAAAGATACTATTAAACAGACAGTGCTGTACGGCGCCTAGCATTATCGCTTAACCCCTCGAGGATGAAGCACAGCCATGGGACCAAATCCCCGGAAATGGAACGTAATGACCGGCCCACACTTTTTCAGCAGTTAAGCCTACTTTTACAAACAAATTCATATAAAACCAGCATTTTAATACAATGATCTCAATTTTGGAAGTTATGTACTTAATATACTTACTGATGTGTATTAATATAAAGAATATCACATTAATAGAAATAATTGAAACATGTGAAATACTAAAATTGCAACTGTAAGCATGAAAACAAATACTATACATATGAAAACAAAATTACAAATACGAATTGTAAAAGAAAGTAATAACTATCTTTAGGTAATTAAATTCCAATTTAAGAATAATTCAAAACGAGAATCGACACACAGGATAATGACAGCTTTTTTCCTCGAGCAAGTTAAGATGCATCACCGATCGGGAAAGCCGATATCTTTCCCTTCTGTTATTATACTGTAAAGTTACTTTTCAATTAACCAAGATAGTCTATGTTCAATTTTAAACTAAATACATAAAAGGACAACTAGTCTGAGTTTTTCCTTCACGAAAATTTGGCGATGTTATACCTGCTATAAGTCAGGTAGATGCATTTTCTCACATTCTCTTAACAAAAAAAAAAAAAAGAAAAGAAAAGAAAAAGACAGAGCTGGATGCATTTCCCCACATTCTAATAATGAAAAATGTAAAGAATAAAAACAAAGACAACAACAACAACAAACAAAAAAAAAAAAAAAAATCCTAACGAAATAAACACGCCCATGTCCTTTAAAGAACTGTGATTCCCAGTTTGCTTACACCAATAAATCTATCAAAATCAGAAGCACAGAACAGAAACTGATGCTCAAACATGAGGTCAAAAAGACACATGATATAACCGATGTGAAAACCATTACCATTAGCACCATCTACTGACATTTAAAAATCGTTCCATTTTCAAGTTACATGTATACGTGACGCTGGGCTGAAGAGATTGATCGAAGCTCTTCGCATATACGCGACACTGGGCTGGTAAGAGTGGAATCGTTGCGCCGCATATACACGATGCTGGTCCTGACAGGTTAAAAGAAACCATTGTCCAGTATAAAAAAATTCCTTCACCACTCACCTTATCCTGTTTCTTAATAGAATAAGCATATCATCGTAAAAATACTGATTAACTGATTTATTTTCAGGTGCAAATTTATGGGGAATAAGTCTTTTACAATCAAAAGATGCAATCAGCATCAACTTAACCTTTAATTTTAACATCCATTTTCTTTTTTCTTCTCTTTTTTCCTAGTAACATTGTAACACACAATGTAAATTCTGGTGCAAAAAAAATTTCACACTTTAGTATTCATGGGTTCTATAACAAAAAAGGGCATACATTTTCTTGTTCAAGTACAATCATCATTCTGCAACATTAGTATTATGCTGCAGGCTATAAAAGAGTTTAAGTTACTAGTCTGCTTATAAATCATCTTTTAAAAGAGTTCAAGTTCGTTAGTTTTAATAACTATACTCAATAATGGATTAGCAGACATAAATTTTAACTTCTAGTCTGTTAAATTATATATTAAATACTACACATTTTAAAGATTAAGATATACAAAAAGAATTCAATTTCATGTTAACTAAAAAATTCTTATTCAAAAATCATTTTAAATATAAAATAATAAAAAAAAATTACATCTTCTACTTAAATACAATAGAGAATATATTAAATAATTAAAATGAGATTCTTACTAGCAGTATTTACACTGGATAAATTAGATTTTAAACTAGGATTCAATTTTGGGCTGTAGAAATTTTCTTCACTATCTTTAACACTGGGAGCTGGTGATCCAGTTGAAGTAATACTGGGAACAGGAGATGCATGTAATGTATCCATGGGCTTAACTGGACTGCCTTGATCACACTGAAACTGCATTTCTGGAGGAAAAGAGGGAAGAAGTAAGAAAGAAGCTCTGTGACTTTCATTAGCATGCAAGTCAAGTAGTAAATTCATTTGATCTTTACTTTATTTCCAAAAGTAATAGAAAGACTAAAATATTTCAAGCTGGAAACAAGATATATAATTTTTTATCTTGCTAAATAAATTGGTATGTTCTGATTTCAGACACCATCACAAAAATCTGCATCTCACTGCCAACTTTGTGAACTGAAGAAAAATGTTTCTTTGAATATTATAAAAATAGCAGATGCATTGTTCTGTTCATAAATAATAAAAAGGAGTTTTTATAAGAAAAAAAAATTTAGGAAAAGGTATCTGTATGGCCAATACTTACATTTTTACAACTGGTGGACATTACTTCTCTACAACAAAATAAAGGTTAAATACAAAGCATGTTACTCCACATATAATCAAATGTGTTTATAGTAAGTTAAATGTGTCAGCTGACTATTGTTGCATGTATATTTAGAAATACTTCTACTGAATGATAAAACTGGGAGTGTGATAGTCAGAATGTACCAATAAATCTGCTTTTTTTAATAAATACCCATTGTATCAATTCCATGAACCTAGAAAAATTATTCAGTCACGATGAAACATAACATGAAAAATAAGAAGACAAAAATCACAAAGAAATTAAAATCTGTTTTAGTTTAGGTTTTTATTTTTTCAGTTAATCTATTCATATCCCTTGTTAGATGCTTTCTCCCATTTGGATTGTTAGCATTATTGCACTAATAGCTTTTATGCTGGTGGTTTGCACTAATATCTTTTATGCTAGTGGTTTACTTGTTTCATTCATTGTTTCTTACTTTTTAGGCGAATCTTTAGAATATGGTAACAGGTAGTTTGGCGACATTTTGGTAAGGCGATAAAGGTTACTAGCTAGGACTTTAGCAGTGCACATGGATAAAGTCAAGAGTGTGCACAATGCCATTTTTGTGCAATTCTGGGATGTTTTTTTAAGTGAAAATAGGTCGACGTGTACATGGAAGATATCGTGTATGTGCAATTTTTAAAAACGCGGCAAGCAGTGGGCGATTCTGAACTTTCTCCCAATTTCACACCTAATTTTCGTCATGATTAAGCATTTTTATTCCATAAAAATTCTAGTATAGCGTAATTCGGCTAGCAGATTGTTGGAAAAAATTTTGAGTAAAAAAAGAACAAAAAAACATGCCTTTACTTCGTGAAAACAAAATGGCGTCCAAAACAAAACTAGCAGGTTGCTGTAGCAGGGTTGGTCGCCAATTTTCGCCAAAAAATCGCCAAGTTATCATAATCCGAAGATTAACCCTTTTTTATTATTATTAATGCATTTCGAGTAATGTTTATTTCTGACAGTTGAATTTATTTCACTTCCTAATACTCTGGTTACTAATAAAATTTTTCCTTCTCAGTTAAATTAATCTGTGTTTTTATTTAGAAATCTAATGTTGCTTTGATTATTAAGTTATTTCAAATGTTTAGTTCCTAGTAACATCAGGAGAATGAATTTCAAATATATGGCACAAGAACTTCGAACCAACACATTAATACTTTGGAATTGGTGGACACACTGACTTAAAAACAATATCTGAAAACAATAAATTAGGCAATATTTATATTAAGGTACATAACTTTAGTTTTACGCTCATACTGCTATACATTTGTTTCATTAATTATTATTATATTTTTACAGAGTTGACCTATCTATCAATCAATAACACAATTTGTGGGCCATGAGTTCAAATAATAAATTTTTAATAGGGCTTTACACAAAACGGGGCAATTTCAGTAAAAATTTATGATCTTTCTGGTATTCATTTTTTACATTATATAAAATTCTAAAAGGGATTATACTATTACCCCCTGAAAAGTCGATCTGAAATATTGAAATATGAATAATTAATAAACACTTTTCAATTTCAGTTTTCCAGTTTTCCTAATTACTAACTTAATTGATAATACACCTTTTAATTCTTAATTTTAATTTAAATACAACCCCCTTCAAAGCATCTGTACTGCATTGACATCGTTATCTTTTGCAAAAATCCACAATGCTGTAAACTCTTAAGCAATCACTGTTCAGCATACAAAGTATTCCGAGCCTTTAAATATTTCAGCTGCTTAATATGCATCACATTTCTCCCTCGCTTTAGCCACACAGACTTCTAACTATTGCAGTTTTTGTATATTCTAACAATGTTATTTAGATATATAAAACTGTGAATGCTGTATTATTCAAGATAAGGAATGTGCTTCTAAAGAATTTTTTTTTTTTTTCCAGAAATAAAATATATTTAAGATGGCAGCATTTGAATACAAGCCCATCCTTCCATCTATGCAACAGTTTCAAGCTATCTTCTATCACCATCCTATCATGATTGCTAAGTCTAGATTGTTGGGTCTAGATTAAGATTAGTTGGGGTCTTCTTTTCTCATCACACCATCAAAATTCCACCATCATCATGTGTATAAACGTGCATATATATTAACTTGTAGAGATTGCCTAAGCTGAAATTATTAGCATGGAAAAGAAAAAAATTATTATTTAATTGACCAGGCATGTCAAACTTAGTATCTCAAGTGGGCCAAACAGTCATTATGTACAACAGCGTGGGACAAAATGGAAAAATATGTCATTTTCATACTTAATGTATTTAAAAAGTGAGTAAATGTATAAAATCTGACCTAATAGATAAGATTTTTTTTTTTTTTTTAAATGGAAGGACCATAAGAAACTCTGAGTGGTAGGTGGATAGCCACTTGTTTCTTTCCTGGCATCTTTTTCCTACAACCATCTTTCAGATGTTTAGAGACTACTCTCACATTACCGATTCTCCGAATAGAGGTTAGATGAATGTCTGTTAATGTGAATCAAGCTTCCTAATTGAGGAAAGTTATTTATATGCTACCAAATATGGAAATTGTATAAGATGCAAATCTACAGCTTTCTGAGAATCACAAAGGGAAGTATTTATAAAATTCCAGAATATCCACTTCACTGAAATTTTGCTTCAGAGAGCCACACATATGGTCTGAAAGTTCGACATTCTCAAATAGACTATATAAATAAATAAAAGTGATCCTTAGAACTTTACACTGAATTTTTGTACATAATTTTACACTGATGGAAAAAAATAATCCCAACATTATAATTATATTTCTCCCACTTGCCTAGCATGCCTTCGTGGTAAAGTGGTTCTGCCCGCTGGGCCAGTATCCAGAGGTCACGTGGTTCGATTCCCGGAGAAGGCATTTACTAATTTTTCTTCTTGCCTGCTTTCAAAAATCCTAATGTCTCTACAGTGGCACCCGAACTAAAAGGATGTTGGATGAGAATTCTCCACACCTAGGATTTGGCAACTGAGTCCCCTAAAAACCCCAGTCACCCCTTCAAAAAGGGGAGTATACAGTACAAAGTCTTTAATCCGGACTCGTTGGGACTTCAGCGATTCCAGATTAGAGGTTTTTCCGGATTACAGATCATCAATTTAAATCTCGTAAGATGGCATGCAGAAATATTAAAATTAAAAATATGAAACCATAATTTATGTAATAAAGAGCAATTATGATCTAAAGGGTATCAAAATTTACAAAAAAAAAGCTTAATATTTATTTGTTTACTTTATTAAACATTTCTTTCAATGTAAGTTGTTTCAGTTGCTTTGTTTTATGTGCTAAAACTTTCTCTTTAATTCTATAAAGAGACATAATTTCTTGTTCAGTTACAAAGTTCCGCTGTTCAAGTCCTGTAATTGCTGTGCCGAGAATGCTGACTAACTTGTCAATCGAAATTTTTTCATTTTCACTAACCTCTCTGTCACATTCTTCATGCTTTATCCATTTTTTGCAGCAATTCCACTTTTTGTTTGATGGACATCGAAACATGTTTTCGCTTTGTTGATCCCTTGCCCGCTGCAGAATCAGAAACTCTTTTTGACATAATCAAAAGTTCAAGCTTACTTTTTATAAAATTTCTCTAACAGTCTGCAAAAAATAATAAGCTGGATCCAATTAGAAGATTAAGGAACAGTGCAATCTGCAACATTAACTGAAATAGATAATTAGATAATTTTAGCCTAGCTTATACCGCCTGTTATGCATTAAACATGCATGCATAAAGGTATTATGTGCATGTGCAGAAAGTTCGTAGCTTTGATGTCTGGATTATAGATCATTCCGGATTATGGACGTCCGTATTAAAGACTTTGTACTGTATAAGGTATTTCTCCCATTTTCTTAGCGTGCCTTCATGGTGTAGTGGTTCTGCATGCTGGGCCATCATCCAGAGATCCGTGGTTCGATTTCCGACAAAGCCATTTTGCTAATTTTTTAATTCTCCTGCTTCCAAAAATATACCTAATAGCTCTACAACATCAAGAAAAAATTATTGTAGAGTAATGCAATTTTGGCAATGCATTTGTCCAGGTAGCATATTTAATTGATTAAATTTTAAAGATCACATGTTAATACACGCACGAGAAGACCAATTTCAAATGTGAAATGCAGGTACATTAACCCTCTGAGCGTTATGACCGGTTTTATACGGTCATCAGAAGTTTTGCTACTTGGCATATACAGTCAAAAGTCGTTAATCCGGACTCGTCGGGACTTCGGCGATTCCGGATTATCGATTTTTCCGGATTATAGATCATCAGTTTAAATCTGGTAAGATGGCATGCAGAAATTACAAAATTAAAAATATGAAACCATAATTTATGAAATAAAGAACAATTATGATCTAAAGGGTATCAAAATTTACAAAAAAAAAAAGCTTAATATTTATTTGTTTACTTTATTAAACATTTCTTTCAATGTAAGTTGCTTCGTTTCATGTGATAATACTTTCTCTTTAATTCTATTAAACAGACATAATTTCTTGTTTAGTTATAAAGTTCCGCTGTTCAAGTCCTATAATTGCTGTGTTGAGAATACCGACTAATTTGTCAATCAAAATGTTTTCGTTTTCAATAACCTCTGGGTCACTTTCTTC